GAAGGGCTGGTATCGTCCGGGGTGGACATGGCGGCGGCTGGAGAGGGCTGGGTACCGCCGCGGCGGAGCTGGGAACTGGAAGTGGTGGCGGTGGGCACGCGAGCGGACGAGAGGAGAAGATAAAACAACGGGAGAGCGCAGGAGGCGCAGATAAATGGCTGATGCCATTATACCGAGATATAGAGCGGAAGAAATGGCATGGCGGGATAGAGAGAGGGTTTGAAAAAAATCGGTTGAGGTTGAATTGAGAGAATGAGGAAAAAGAGATGGCGTTGCAGTGGCAGCTGCAAGAGAAAGAGAGGATGACGTGAGGCGGTCGAGTTAAAGCGGCGGCGGAAGGCCGGGGCGGAGTTAATCAACCGGTAGAAACGGAGATAAGCCCGATCGGGGGCCACAGCAGGCAATAGGACAATATGATAAGGGTATTATTGCATGCATGCAGCAGCCAGCTTACTTAGTGAGTACATACTCATAGATAGTGTACTATACAGTTCATGACTAGAAACTATACATCTCCCCCATCACCATCATCTCCCCCCCCAATTGCCCACACACCGCGGCGTACTCGCGCATCTTGTTGGGAATAATCTCCTCCCAGAGCTGGTTCTTCTGCACCCACTCGTACTGGGCTTGACAGACCGGCTCGGAAGCCAAAGGCAGCAACCAGGGCAGGTGAGCCAGCGCGGCCCGCACAAAACTCTCTTTGAAGCAGGTGCCGAACGCGGTCAGGGTCTCTCCATCCGCACAGACATCGCGGCCGGCGTCCAGCAACGGGCCGCATTGTCGCTTGATGAGCCCGGCCACCTCGTCCCCCAGGCGCATCATCGCCTCCTCCTGCTGGTCCGGGTGATCCACCCGGGCCAGGAGGCTGCGGACAGCGGGCAGGAAGGTCTGGTTGCGCGTCCAGAGGTCCCAATGCGCGACCGTCGGTCGACAGCCTTGGTCGCAGATCTCCTGTTGGAATTGCTCGAGGAGCGCGTGCGGACGACTGGTGAGGGCAACGATGGCCTTGAAGCAAGTCGTGCTGAATTTGGCAGTGACCGGGGAGAAAACAAGCACAATCCAGAGGCCAAGGGTGAGAAGCCGCATGGTTACACGGCAATAATGGGTTATATGTGATGTAAGGAGACGAGAGGTGATTAAGAAAAAGAAAAGAAGGAGTCGAGTGAGAGGAAGAGAAGGGTCGAACACTGGGAGGAGGAACAGGAAGGGGGGGGGGGGAAGAAGGAAAAGTGTGGAAGTGGCAGTGTTTCTCTCTCTCAGGGCCTCCCCTGGATGATCGACAATCACCCCCAGTTCCTCTTCCTTCCCTTCCCCCGCATCAATTTCCCCCTCAAACCCCCATAGTCCATAATCCATCCAGCTTCAACCTCCGGCAACCCTCGGGCTTCATTCGGAGATTCCCACATCCAAATCCTCAACTCACCGGTCCTCTACCCTCCGCGCGCACCGAAGATAGGACTCCTCTCCCCCAACTGACCCATCAACCCTCCTGAGAACAAAACAACGCGGACGAAAATCCGCATGCATACTCATCAATTAATGAACTGGAGCCCTAATCCCCTCACCCATCCCCCCAACTATCGAATCCCTCCAGCAATCGAACCTCAACTCTGCATGTGTGCAGGGAGCAGACCATTGTCCAAATCCAGCCCCCCTCCCCTTCAATGTGATAGATCCAGATATCGACAGTACTCCATCGCTATCCTCTTGACAATATCTTTCTTTGCCCGCCACAACCGACAATGCCCGCGGCCGGAAGAGAAGATCACCCACCACACCCACCACACCCACACCACCACTTGGTGCAGTGCAGTGCAGTAGAGTTTCGCGGTCAGCGCGGGTACACCCGTATCAGCAGGAGGTCTGTGGGACAATCATCGCGGCTGGCATGCATGCATGCATGCATTTGTTCGTGAACGGGGGAAACTCTGATATGTATCAACCACATAAGATTCCTGCAGACGATTGGTTGTTGTGCGTGCGCATTGACACTCACCACCACCACCACCACCACCACCGCCGTGGTATTCCGATCATCCAGACGCAGCAAGACTATTGAACGATAGACGACGGTCTACCCCCGTTGTCCTGCAGGTAAGAAATATACCGCGTGCAGAGATGAGACCGGGAGTTCTTGCGAGCTGTCGGATCGCACTCACCTGATCGGGGCGGTACGACTGGAGGAATGCGGGGATTAGTGGAGAGGGGGGGAGCAGATTTACTGGATTGAGGAGCCCGAAGGTGCTAGGTCAGATGGGTTGGTGTCGGGACTCGGGCTTCTCTATCACCCACCCCCTCGTCGGGGACCTGAGTCAAATAACCTATAGGAGGGGGGAAGTGAGCTCAGATGAGACTGAAGAATGGAGCAATGGCTGGGACGGGGGGGCAGGCCAGTCCGTCACGGAGCTGATTAGATTGGGTTTGAAGTTTAAGGTTCCTCCCTACGGAGCAATAAGAGGCTAGCTAGCATTACAGTTGGCTGGAAGCGTGGGAGGTCCGGTTGTGAGTTCACATTGATTCATTAGAGTTATTCGCTATCCGTAAGTGTGTAAAAGTCGACCACTATGCTAATGCCGAAACCGTCCGTACCAGGTGTATATCCCCCCTTGCGTCTGATGCCCGAAACTCCTCGCTAAAACCAACCTAATCCGAAATGATAACATGGAGAGAGATAAGACATGAGAGAGATGAAACAGTTGGGGAAGAGAAGAAATGCCAAGTGGCAGTGCAAGGAAACGCCTCAAGGAGTGAGATCTAGAATGCCTGTAGTGGTGGTGATGATGATGACAAAAAGAGATGACAAATGAAAAGCCGTCGTCCCGGACAGGGTATTGGCGCTGTGTGTGAAGTCTAGAAGAGTAGAGAAAGGCTCAAAATGCGAAGTCAAAAGATCAGATGAAGGCAAAAAAAATGTCCTAGGGAGACGATGATTGGATGAAGGAAGGAAAGGAATGCCCGTCAGGCATGTCGCTGGCGTCGGCGCAGCTCGTCTCGGCTTAAAAAGCGACGAATACGCGAAACAAAGCGGCCGGCAGTGGAGTCTGCGTCAGGGTTAGCGTGGCTCACATGCACCGGGGATGACAGGTCACACTGGCGGGCGAACATACCACTGTATCGGCGGCCACTGGGCTTAGACGAAAAATGCTCCGGGGTGGACGGATAAGACATATCAGTCCAGTAGCATGTATCCGGATAGTCTGCGAGGTGGCGGGCCTTGGCCCATGGGTTCTCATCGGATTGCAATTGAAGGGCGACAACGTGAGGATACAGTGATCCCAGTGGGTAGAGAATCTCCTCGGGAGAGCGTTGTCGGTCAATGTCCAGACTCTGGCTGGTCTGTTGACTATCAGTATGGTGGTGATGGGACGATGAGGCTGGCGTGGTACTCACGTAAGGCTCGTAGTTGCTCTTGTAAGTCATGATGGTTGTGAGGTGGTGAAAGATGTGATTGATGTGATGTGAGAGAGATCGGAAGGTGGTTTGTAGGACGTGTAGATGGTTCGGCTGGATCGTAGTATAGAACGATGTAGAACAGCAGAGGATAGCGATCGATAGATATAGATCTCGCGATTGACGATTGACGATTGACGGAGAGTCGACGAAGAATGTGATTGCTGAAAGAGGGACACGTTCTCTGAAGAGACTTTGGAACTGGATGGAGACAAGCTCGGGAGAAACCTTGATAGTTATATAACATGCGGCCGAACAGCCGTGCCCTGGTGGAGGTCAGAGGAGATTGTCAGCCACGCCTGGCTGGTTTTAGTTGAAGGTGGGGGGAGCAGCTGCCACGCATCGACCTGACCCTGGCTAGCCTTGTTGTTTAATTGGCATTTTTTTTTTTTAAATTTTTTTCTTTCGTTGCTGCTTCTTTTTTTCGTTCGCTTATCCTGGCAAGAATTAGAAAATCAAAACCTTCTTTTCATTTTCCTTTTTGTCACTCCTAAAAAATTAATCAACTAACCAATCTATTGTTCACCGATGGCTTACAATTTACGAGATCCCAGCCGCGAGGATCATTGACCAGGATAATCCCAGTGGTTCCGGCCGACCAGGAGTCGATGGATCGCATCGCCGGGCCTGATTTGAATTTAGGTCAGGCATGATCTCATCATCACTTCAGCCGTCGCCAGATCGATTTAGAGCGAAAACCGGGCGGGAACCGGGCTAGTCGCAGTTGCCCTGGGCTAATTCAGGTCCGACGGGTTGGGTTGAATTTAGCACTTCTGACGGCGACCGCATTGTCCAGGCTGACTGGCGGATGCTCTCAGGAACTAGCTGGCCCTAAGCAGGATAGCTGAGAGTATCTTCATCTGTCCATTTGTGACCATCCAGTCATCGATCGGGAATGGCCGCAGGTGGGACTCCACTTGGTCAGGCACTTGGTTTCGAATCCGGATCCAGTGCGTCAGAGAGCGGGGACTGCATGCAGCACTACTGCTTAGTCGGTTTAGTCGGTTGCTGCATCGACTGCACACCTGAAGCAACTTAGCAAAGCTGCTAGCAGCCTTTGGCTTCGCTCGCAGGCTAGCCTTCGTTAGCCGGCGAGGGCTGATCGACCGCCAGCATGGCCGAGAGGCCGGTGGACGGTGTGTCCGATGGACGGCGATCAAGCCTGTCGCCTGCTTCCCCTTGCATGGAGAAAGCCGGTCAGGTCGGACTATCGTCCACGTTGTGCCGTTCCTGGGGGGTTGCATATGTATGGTGACGCGCTTGTACACACCTTTTCTTTTTTTACTTGTGTACTCGGTTGAAGAACAAGGAGAAGTTGGTCAAAATGGCCACCAGATGGGAAGAGGAGGGTTGTGTCACGATTGCGTCGGAGGGCCACAGGAGACATTGGTGCGGGGAATGGAGACTGAGTGAATCGCAGCGGAGCTGTCACAGATCGGTGGGTGACTATTGATTCCTGCCTGGGAGCCTGTTTTTTCAGGAGGCGGATGGGAGGCCAGGCTGCTGACTACTACGACTCTACGAGTAACTAACTTACGCACTCCTTTCCCTTCGCCCCCCTCCCCCCAAAATCCTCTCCACTCCTCCATCTCCATCGCTATTCTTCACCATTCTTCTCTTAGGCCCTCAGCTAGCTCTTAATACTCATCGTAATATTAATCTATTTCGTCTCCTATGATCCTATCAAAGGTTGGGATAAGCGAATCGCCGCTAATGTCCGTGTTTTTCAAATCCTGGTGTCTCTAGCGCCATGGAGGTGTCCAGGTTCTCGGGTCTGGATAATGGATAGATGTGCTGACTGGTAAGCATTAAGCAGACTCTTGGAGGGCTTAGCAAATTATAACCTACTGAATAATTATCGCGACAAGGATGCAGCGAGGAGCGAGGAGCGAGGACGCGAGACCTTGCTCAGTACATCCATCTTCCTTGTCGACCATCTGCATGCCTGGCCGCCTCAGGCCTATAAAATAGGGCTGCACAGCCACGCTACTACGGCCCCGCCGGCACCGAACAACTGCGGACTGCGAACAGATCTGTGGCGGTCTGGCGGAGAAGCCCGTGGCTTGACCCTGTCCGTCTCCGCTTAGGGCGTCAATAGTCGGGATAGCTTCACACCCTGAGTCGACCGTCGGCTCTCCACACTCCCCTGTCATGCGGCCCCTCGCCGTGAGCTTGGGCTTGTTGCACTGATGCTCGGCCTGGTTTCTTTCCCCTTCGGGTTGGCCATCGGGCTGGCCGCCATCCCCCCTTGTCCCGAGGGGAGGGCCCGAGAAGTATAAGGAGCAGACTCCCTCGTGTCGAATCTCCTTCCCAATCATCCATCGTGCGACTTTGATTCATTCGCACCTGTCAGCCAGCACATGTCTATGTCCCATGGCGCTAAGTCCAAGTCCCTCCGAACACGATTATCAGCGAAGCTCTCCTTCAGTGGACTGGTCCGATCAGTCGCCCATCGCTTCCTCCGACTGTTTCCCCGCAAGTAAGAAAGCCTTTACTTTCAACCTGCTATGACCTTCCTGGGCACGTCTAAAGATTGAGGCCCCTGGGCCAAACAGAATCTCTCTGGCTGGACACAACTGAACTTCAATCCGGTTCTAGACCTGTGAATATGTCCCCAGCAGGCGGCGGGCCATCCACGCCCGCGTCGTCTTCATCCTCCTCGATTAAATACTCGTCCGCTGCTACCGAACCGCCTGCATCTGTTGCTGCTGCAAGACAGCAACAGCATCCGCAACATTCTTCCTGGTCGATCCCGCCGGACACGGCCGCCAATCCATCAGCAGATCCGTCGTCGACTCCGATCGACCTGCTGGACACATGGTATCCGCAGTATCTACGCTGCACGCAGTATTTCCTCGAGCAAGGCCAGTTCTCACCCGCGGTCCTATCGCTGGCCGCGTTTCTGAACATCCGTCTACCGTGCCAGCGGGGCGAGCGGCAAGAAAGCTCCTCCTTCTCGTCCTCGGACGCAGGGGGGCCAGCAGCAGTAGCAGCAGCAGCAGCGCATGTGCAGCTGCGGCGGTACGTCCGGCGACTCGTGGTGACGGCGCACGACAGCCCCGAGGTGCTGCAGGCCTTCTTCGGGGCGGAGTGGGCGGGCGGGGTGGGCTGTGTGGTGCAGCAGGAGCGGCAGACGTACCTGTTTACGGCGAAGAGCAGCGGGTGGGCGGCGACCAAAGCGGCGTACGACCTGTTGCCGGACGAGCAGACGCCCTTCCTGCGTCCGCTGCGGGCGCCGGCGGAGGAGGAGTTGCGGCTGGCGGAATCGCGGTGGAGTGACTGGCTGGCGATGGAGGACTGGATGGTGGGGCCTCGGAGTCCGTGGAGGGATTCATGATGTCTACGACTTTTCTTTTCTGGCGCTACGTTTCCTATGTTCGTTTCGATTTTCATTTGTTAGATTGGCACTGCAGCCGCATATGATAACTGCAATCGCAAAAATGATAGAAGGATCATCATATAGGTCTATCTCTTCCCGGTGTGTAGTATTCCTGACCGCGGACCACGCCTTCGAATTCCTGTATCCGGGTTAGCAGACTGATAGCCTTACCCTGGCTCGAGTACGCATGTAAGACACCCCAAGTAATATGAGGATCAATTAAGATGAGCCACTAACTATCGGGTATAGCACTGCAAGTTAGTGTAGATTGCAGATACCAGATAGAGCGTCAAATTCCAAATCGCGTCGTGGACCCCGTCCAACTAGATCAGACTAGACGACAAACCAAATAAACTACAATACCGCCCTGGGCATTGGGCAGGCCTGCCATGGGGGCGGAAAATTAAAACCGAGATCCAAAAAAAAAAAAAAAGCATGCGACCCAGCACATTGGACCTGTCAATCCCTCGACCATCGGCGCTAAAACAATTGCATTGAGACACCAAGCCCCAAAGCTGAAAGCTGAATTCTTAGTGGTGAATTGTGTAATGGTGAATGGTGCGGTGAAGGGGGAGGGGGGGCAGGAGAAAAAAGGGGAAATCCCCCCACATGGGGTCAGGGATCTTGTTCCGTGTCAACTTTTCTCTATGGTAGTCTACTGGCGGTCAGCCAGCCAGCCACATGTGCATGGAACAATTCATGGAAGATTCTTTTCCATGCCCTGGCCCTGCACGGCTAATGCATGAGGAGAGGTCGGGGGTGGACCAAAATAGGTGACCTATCACTGGCCTTAGTCGTGTTTGAGAGATTGCGTTTCCTTTCCACCCGTGACTTGTGTTTCCGTTTCCGTTTCCAATCCCCAAGTCTCACACTAGTTTTAGGTCTGGCTGGCTGGCTGGCTGGCTGGCTGGCTGGCTGGCTGGCTTGCACCGCCCGTCTTCATCTTCTTGGCTTGGTCGGGGAATCCGAGCTTTAATTCAGGCACCGACTGAACAGTGAATCTGGGGGTAGGATTTTCTTCCATCACTAAACTCGTTTCAGACTTTCAGTCAATAGTCAATGTTTAGTGCCCAGGAATCTTAATTAAACCTACCCGCAAAGGCAGCCCGACACTCCAGCTGTCAGGCTGTCAGGCTGTCACCACTCACCACTCACCAGCGTCAGCATGACAAATACTCTATCCTTAGTTAACTAGGGCGTTATCTTGGGGGACTTATCTTGCTTGGGTAACTCACCTCTACTAACTAATCTATACAGAGTAAGTCAACTGCACTAATCCTTAGTGTAGATGGCGATCGCCCGGGGCTCCCAACGTGACTCACACACCTTTTGGGATCATGGATGTAAATTAACTGAACCTTTCCTCTGCCTTGACCTGTCATATTTGAAATTCCAGCCGATCATCGCAAGCCAAGCATCGACGGACAAGGACTCGGATATTTTTGCTTGCTTTTTTTACTTTGACCTTGTTGTCAACTGTACCCCAAAGTAAATCCTCCGATTTACCGTCCGTCCGTCCGTCCGTCAACAACCGACCTAAGCGACCTGAATAAATCCTTCCGAGACGTCAGAAGATAGATCCAGATCTTCGAAACGAGGAAAAGTCAACCGAGTTGTACAGTCCAGCAACACAAGCAAAAAAAAAAAAAGCAACTCCTGTCCAACAACCCCGTATTCAACCAAGTGGTTGGCAACGTACTGTACTGTACAACCCGCCCCCAAATCCCAACACGATGGATCAAGATCCCAATTCGGATGCTGTGACGATTCACGAGCACCCTCCGTCAACCTGGTCCTCATCGTCTGGGATACTCCCCCGCCTCCAATCCCAGCTCCCCTACTCCATCCCCCTCCTGCGTCGGATCCAGCACCACCTCGCCTATCCTACCTCCACCGCCACCGTCTTGGCTACGTTTCCTGCAGTACACCAGCATGAGACGCCGCGCTCCACCGGCGCATCACCAGCCGCACCATCCGAGGAAGAGGAAGAAGAACCCTGGCTAACAGCCTACATCGACCTGCACGCCGGCCGCGAGACCCAAGTGGTGATCTACAGCAGCGCGGAAGCGGATTCCTCAGTCGACGTCGACGTCTCTCTACCCAGCAGCACCACCCACGCCCCCGGGCCAAAGAGCACCGGCACCGAGACCGGTTCCCAGCGCTCCCTCTCCCTCTTGTCCTCACAACACACCCAGACAATCCGGCGCCAACTCCTCGCCCTATTCCAACATATCAAAACCCACCTGCTCCCGGCGTACACCGCCCATCTCGCGGCCGCGGACCCCGTGACAACGACCGCAACAAAAACAGATCACCAGCTGCCCCCACCCCCGCCGCAGGCCTTTCTAATCGGGAATCTGCACACGGGGCTGCTGGCGGTGCTTCTTGCGGGGCCGACCCCGACCCCGACGGAAACCGATGAGCATGCGCTGGCAGCAGTGTATACTTCCGGCGTGGGATCGGCGTCGTTCGTCCCGGGGCAGAAGGTGCATCGCTACGACCACGCGCCGTACGTCAAGTATCTGTTTGGGAGGGAGGAGGTGGTTTGTCCCCGGGATGGTGGTGGTGGTAGTGCTGCCACGGGTCAGGATGGCTTCCGCTTCCACACCCGCGACGGCCGGCAGGGCGTGCAACCCCAGCATTTCGCCCTCGTGCGGAGCCGCACGGTGATTCCGCGGTCGGATGCGACCTTGGCCATGTTGCCCGGGGCGGCGGTTTATGCGCCGACGGCCGGAGCGGGTGATGGAGGGACAGAGAATCCCGTGGCGTGGGCGTTTCTCGGGCCCGACGGGTCGCTGGCGACGTTGCATGTTGAGGCGGAGTATCGCGGGCAGGGGCTGGCGGGGAGGGTGGCGCGCGAGGCGATGAGGCGGGGGATGGTGGAGGATGGGCGGTGGTGGAATGGGAACGGGGAGGAGGATAAAACTGGGGATGGGATGCTGGTGCATACGAATGTGGCGATGGGGAACGGGGCGAGCCGGCGGGTGATGGAGAAGTTGGGGGGGAGGGTTGGCTGGACGGTTACGTGGACGGTCGTGGAGGTGCTACAGTAGGTGGTAGTTATACTCTGTAGAGTCGGTATAGAATTCTGCATAAGGCGGGCATGTATAGAGCCGAGCCGCTTCATATTATACCGTTACCAAACTACCTACGATATCATACCTAAGTAACTCCCAGCCGTCTCTCGCCGTTGCCAGGCCATCTCGTCCTCCTGGCGAGTACTTTCAAGTTGACTGGTTCACATGCTCTTCGCGAAGACCAGCTCATTCATCCTTCCGCCGGTTGAGGTTGGAGATGGAAAGATCGGGTACGCAATAGTCAGCCCGGTCATGACGGCCTTACCTCCAGCAGGTTCTCCGACCAAGCACCGGTTATGTCTGTCCATTTGGACCGTGAAACGAGAATTGGTCAAGTAACCGCGCGGAATGAATTGCTTTCTGACATGAGTAAGGTCACTCTTCACCAAGTGCTCCAGAACTTCCCCCTCGCGGCTATCTGATGAATGCTCTGGCAGTCAGTATCTTGAGCGATACATAGCGCTGGCGTGGCCGATCCCGCGCGAGCCACATTGTTGAGTAGCCACCATACCCAAGCTTGTGGACGACAGTATAGCGGCCACTAAGTTACCAAAGGTGTCTCCGATGAGAGTTGGGTGGTAACCCGCCAGGCACATATTCCTCAAAGATACTCAACATCTACCTCAGGGTGGTATAGATCTTCCATTGGCGCGTTGGCCATGGTATGGAAGCGTCGAGGTGGGTGCGGTGACGGAGAGGCTCTGTGGTGACGGCTGGTCTTCGGTGTGAATGGAAAACGGCACAGGCAAAGATCTTTATGTTGTCGACGAGGTACCACTGGCTGGGCACATGGGCGAGGGAGTCTCCAGCTAGGGTTCATCATTTCTACATTCATGTCCTTTGCAACGGTCATCGAACAACGCGCTATAACTGCCAATACTGAGAGGAGGTGTGGGGCCGCGGTCGTCGCTGGAAGATGGCCAAAGTACGAGTGATGTATTATTGCTAAATCACGCCTAGAGTGCCTCAGTCAGACGGCGTAAATCGCTATGCTCCCTTGGTTACCTCGGCATATAGATATATATCATCTCTCTTGGGGGTGGTACCTTTCCGTGCCTCCTGTTGGGGAATCCTGCTTCCAACCATGCACCTAGGGTTATACCAATACATCGAATACTCCTGACCGCTGACCGCCGTATCCATACTGGCGAAGTACAATGTCCTGCTGCTAGCAGTGCAGTAAGGGACACATAGAAGCAGCAGTCACATATATATAACAATGGTCTCATACTAGGGTTAGCGGGTGGGCCGAATTAGGAGTACGTAACTTGGCGGTGGAAGGTTGTTTCTGACGATTCTGAGGGTCGAGGCCACATGACGTCATTTTGTTGTATAGAACGCGCGTTTTATAGAGGAAAAATGTAGTCAATCGATACATGCTGTTACCCGGACACTTTTGACTAGCTAATCCCCCCAGAGGGAAGATGCTCTAGGCTATCGCGAAGCTGCGTGCGGCCATATGAATCGGGATGGTCTAGTAGATCGTACTTAGGGTCTGCCACGGTTTTCCTGGGTTCATGCACCTCGGAGTAACTCCCCAGCTAGTGAGTGCACTCCATTTATATGCTGCCTTACTCCTAAATTCTCCTCTACCCACTTCCTAACAACTGCCAGGACTCGCACTCCGTCGGTCAGCGGCAGCCAGGAAACCGGGCAGGGTGAGCCCAACTGATCAAATGCAGGTGTGGAAGACAGGGACTCGAGATAGTCGGCTGTGTAGTCAAATGGAGTACAAGGTTGTATATAAACAACCAAAGATTATCCTCTGAAAAAAAAAGCAACAGGCTAAACCAAACAACCTCCTTTCCCCAACACCAACACCAACAGCCCACAACCCACAACCGGATAACACACAAAAACAATCCGAAGATCAATCAAAAACCTCATCCCCACCCACCGTCTGGATACTCGCAACCATCACCGCCCCATCCGCCGTCACAATCTTCCTCTCCCTCGCCCTCGCGCTATCCCCACCTGCATGACCGAAATCTTCTCCCCCCTCCTCCCCCTCCTCCTCCTTCTCCTCCCATCGCCTCCTGCTCCACGGAACATTAATCAACTCCCGCTCCATCCTCGCAGGCAACTCCGCTCGCTGCCGATAGAACCCCGTATCCGATAATTCGGCCGTTGTCGCTGTTGTCCTTCCCCTTCCCCTTCCCGTTCCGGTGTCCGCTTCCGCTTCGGTGCGTGGAATCCGAGTACTCCTAGTGGTAGCAGTAGCAGTAGCGGTAGCACCATCCCTCGAAGGTTCCGTATCCCTTGCCCCCCTCATCTGCACCGTAGGCTTAACGTTAACATTCACATTGATATGACCCCGCATCCGAGCCGGCGTAGGCAGAGGTTTCTTGGTGGGCGTTGTCTCCGGCGAGACGAGCGGGCTGACGCTTTCGGGGTCGCTGTTGCTGCTGTTGTTGTTGTTGCTGAATGAGCGCATTGCGAGGTGGCGGTCTCGGTCGTTGAGCGGGGAGATTTGGATTTGAGCTTGAGGGGAGGGGGAGGGGGAGGGGGTAGGTAGGATG